GGTTGCGGGGGCTCGGCTATCTTCGGCTCCGCTCGTGACGTCACCGCGCATAGCTGCCAGGATGCGGGGTGATTACTCGCCTATTACGCGAGTGTTACGTTACCGCTGAGGGGTGGGAGGGGAGCGCTGACTCACCCGCCGCGTCACTGCTGGTGTGGGGGGGGGGCTCGGCTTTGCGCAACATGTAACAGTATGTTACAAACTCCAGTGGTAACATCAGTCAGTACTCAACACACGAAGTGGAATTACAAAGTCTGTTCAGTAAATAAGTGGATAACAAATACATTTCAGAAGTCAGAACTTTCTTTCAGTGGCAACTATGATTTATTCGTAATATCTTTAACTACAGCGTCAATATCTCAGACTTTATGGCATCAAATGACTTGACGACCAAGAATAATAACCTCGAAAAGATGTGTAGAGAAACAGTCATTGCATAATTTGAGGTATTATCCCAGAACTTACCTGGAGGGATCAGAAAAATCATATAAAAGCTCAGTCATGTAAAATCATAGGCACATGTGCACGATTTAAATTCTTTAATAATACAACTATTCTGGGTGTTTGTTAGAAGGAAATGCCTTATGTGGAGGTATGTCTGCATGTCTGTGGACTAGTGTGATTACATAAACCATCAGTCATGGGAGACTTTCACTAAAAGTTGTTTGGAAATTCCAGTCTTGGTTAAAATTGGACAAAAATAATGGACATATTACACAGTCACCTACATGCATTCCTGTATACATCTTGACATAATCCTCTATATACAGCGAATATTTTTACTGTGTGGACCGGGTCCATGGCAAAGCGCTTCACAACAGCTGGTGCACTGCTTGCTGCGAGACATACAAATTCTGCCAATGAATCAGCATGCCTGATGGCCAATAATGCTTGGAGTGAAGTAGTTATAATTCACATATCACAGGAGATGTTGAAAATGCTGTCCTCTCTATACATAGATATTTTCTGCAATTAACTGTTTCATTAAGAAACACAGGTACAATAATCCTTCCTGCACTTACAGCACACCAGACACCAGTTTTCACTGGATGGCAATTGTGTTGCCATTCTTGAACTCGACAGTCCAGTCTCTGGAGCTAGATGTTTCAGTGAGTGTCCAGGTGTATGTTCAAGTCTGGCACCTATGTCCTCTAACTTCTCCTAAGTAAGTAACTGACACTTAAGTTTTTGTTTCTTGTTTATTAAGAGTCCTGTCATTCTAAGTTTATTCACAAAATTATGAACTGTCTGTCTGCTGGGAACTCTTTTATCACAAAGTCTACATTAAAATTTTTGCCAACACTTTCTAGCAGATCTGTATTTCACATGGGTGACACAGAAATACACGTTGCTCTAAAGTATACCACACTATGAAGTGCAGCGCCATGGACCTGGTTCACACAGTAAAAATGTTTTAAACAAAAACTGTAAAGAAAAATGAAACATAAATTTTACGTCCAACACATTTTCCCAGAATTCTTAAAAATGTTGAGATAATTAAACATAAAGAATGTTTGTACTGTGTCATCTCATATCTGGAGAACAGTCAGACTGATTCTGTAAATTTTATGTTGGAGGCCCTCAAACAAATTTGCTTAATATCATGCCTGTCCATCCCTTATCTCTCTCTGGTTAAGTACAGCCTAAACCATCGGACAGAATTAATTTTCAAATTTAGTATGAAGCAGTTTTCACATATACCGACCCACAATAAAATCCACCTTACTTCCAGCAATAACATAGTTTTCAGACAGATTTTTATTTAAAACCTTAAACTGCTAAGGTAAGGGCACAAAGACATGAACCTTAGCAGATCAAGATTTTTAAAATTAAGAATTTTATTAATATGTTAAATCACCACATTTTAGCTTAATTTAAAATCTTTATATATATAACTTTGGACAACTTTGAACTTGATGCACCATGATTTATGTAACAGTAGTTTCCTCAAGTGTTGTTATTTGCCTTCTGAAGATGGTCATTAATTACTGAAACATGTAAAGGCATCATATNGTATAGTACAGAAAAGCCCAGTGTTCAAGTGTCCATTTCACCACCTCAATTCATTACTGTCAGTGAGAACTTCTACCAGAAGAGAAGCACAAAGGGAACTGGTATGTATTACAGCTGAGTCACTTGCAGCTGCAGTCGTGCCATCAAAGCTATATGTACAACAGAGACACTACCTATCATACGGTCTCTTGTAACTGGTCATCCCACACAGACCGTATTTTCTATGTATGTTAATTAATTTACTTAACATCCAGACATTCGTATGTAAATGTAAAGTATATACATTTTTACAACTAATGTAATATAGGATATAACCTATTGTATTAAATCTTAGAATTTCACAGTTCAACATGGCTACTAGCCACTTGTAACCTGAGTAATTAAGCCAGAAGTGAGGTGTTGGCTTGATAACTCGCCCACACCAAGCTGATCAAGCAGCTAGGATGGTTACACCCCATTATAGGTTTAAAGTGTTATAATTACATCATAATTAAATTTCACTGGTAGAAATAATAATCCCTGTAAACCCCAAAGTTCAAAGACAGTCAATGCAGCTAAGTGAAGGAATGCAATGTTGTCTGAAAGTAACAGTTTGCAGAAGCTAGTGACATCACGTGGAGTCCTTCCAGAAACAGTCATCATCAAATCCTCGAACTGAATAGATGCGAAAACTGCCTTGTTCTGATACAAATACACATGTATATATTGTGACGCGTTATCTTACGTCCAACACCGCGACAACTGCTACAATCTGAATGGACACTTCCACGACAACGGATACGTGGAAATTTGGGAGTTAACGCACTGACAAATCGTAGCAACGAATTGTTGTTTAGTAACAACAGATGAGAAGAAACACGTTACCGGCGTAATCTATAAAGAGCGTTCCCGAAGCAATGGATTGCTGAACACGTGAGATCAAACCTTGGCAAGGGGTATCCTCTATTGAGTCCAAGTGCGCCTTATATAAAGGGCCTGGCCCTCGAACGGAAGTTGAATATTGAGTACTGAGTATTGGAGTACTGAGAACGAGATAATCTTGGGATAGCTGCTACCAGACACAGTTGAGATCCAACCATGGCCAAGGACAGTTGAGACGTTGCATTAGAGTATCGGGCCAGAAGTCAAGTGGCACTGCAAGCAATAATAACTGTAAGGTGTGTAAGAGTGAGTGTCCAATAAAGATTCACTAAATTCGAGACCCACGTGATGTTATTTGTCGCGTAACATACCCAACATGTGACAATATGTATTATTACTGTAATGATTCAACAAGTAAGTTATTACACAAGTACACCAGAGATTAACTGTGATACAAAGTGTTACAATTACTGAGTCATAATATACAGTGCACTTTCACATTGCTAATTCTCCCAACAGTGTTGTTTGGAGTGAAATAAATGAATTAGTGTTCCTTCCTCATAGTGTGTAATTTATAACTAATCCAGTCCTCTTGCCCTGTCCAAGCAAAGTCCATTAAGCCCTGATAGTGAACCTCTTCTCTACCCATTCTGACTACCAGTAACTACCATTCATTCCTACTTGTGACACACTCGTCATAAGGAAGTAACAGCTTACTGGCACCATATTATTATAACCAGGATGGTCAGTAGAACAAGATAATTTCTACAGTGTCTAGAGTAGTTGGAGTGCGAGCATCAACAACTACATAGGTCATGACATCAACTAGAAGTTAAGCTACAAAGTGGCCCCAACGCATGGCTACATCAACACTGAAGAAGAGAGGAGTGGTATACTCTTTCCCCATCCAATTAACACATGGTGCACATTCAGCTATCGATACCATAGACTGCTTAGGGTCTGGGAGGACCAATTCGGACATTTGACAAAAACATCATATTGAGTACTGCTGTAAACCACAAAGTTTTTAAATCTATTTCTAAGTACCTACCTACACTGCTCAGTGTGAATTGGACTCCAAAAATGTTTGCTATTCCTTTACCTGATCAATCTAAACAAAAAAACTTGATTTTGAATTCATGCACAATTAAAATTACCCACCATGTTGTCCTAGGATCATGTACAGCAAACATGACACACTCCACATTGCATTAGAACATACTGTTGCCTAGGTGATGGAGAGAAACTTGAGTCATATAACTAAGTTCTCCTTTTGAAGCCAGTAGTTGCTCAGCTAATCGAGAAATTCACAGCAATTTGTAGAATCTGTTCCTTCTCCTGAGCCAGACAAATCCAGAATACACCTTCCCATCTTATTTCTGATCCATTTTAATATTATCCCCCCCATTTATGAGAATCACATATCTGACACCTTATATAAATTGGTCTGGTCTGCCATCTCACATCTGTATGGAAAACACAGAGTTGCATATTCTATACTGCAACTTAAGTTGCAGCTTCTAAAAGCAATGTTCGGAGGTGCAAAGACCTACAAGAACTATCCTGCGACTTCTGACAGCTGTCTCCATATTAAATATACACACTGTGGTTAGGAATCCGCTAAATTTTTGTGTCCTAATATCCTGTCTCTTGATATGACATTCACTTTGGCATTTCTCACCAGATGAGATAGCTGTTAACTGAAAACGATTATAGCAGAACAGATATGAATAAAGAACTTCACAGAAAATATTATTATCAGTACTTACTCAGTATGTAGTTGAACAAGTCACAGTAATTGTAGAATGAATTGAACCTTTGTTCAAAGGTTGGGCAACCAGACACACGAGCATATATGTGCCGGAAGTATAATTCTTTATAGAGGATTAAGAACACCTGAAAATGAAAATACCATTCATATGAACACACTGTCTTCAAAACATTGCCTGAAAGTTAAAACTATGATAAACTATTTACATGAACTTACCTGATCATTGTCCACCAAATGTGCAACCTCTGATTCCTCAGGCCACGGCTTCTTCTCAAAATACTGTTCTGTCAGCTTTGGAAACCTTAACATAACACAGATTAAAAACACAAATTATCACAAAATCCTCGCGGAGACATCACATGGCTGACACATTGTCTCTCACTCTTAAAAAACATCAAATGAAAGTATCTGAAAAAAAGGTACCCAAGAAAACATTCGGTCCTAAGTTAATATCCCATGGAATATGTCAAATAAAGAATTCTCTGATTTACGCAGGTCATTTAGAGTCAAATAAGGGCACTTACAATTGCCTGAACATGTAGCTTGGTTAAAGGAAACATAATTTTGGTGGGGAAATCTCGACCAGTGACCGCTTAGATCAGTGGTTTCCAAATTCTTTAAAAAATATTAAGCCCCCCCCCCCAAACCTATGTAAATGACATAGTTTAACAACTTCAGAAAATAGTTACTAACGAACCTTAATAATACTTATGAAGTATATTTTCTACTAAATTACATGTAAAAGGTATAGCTATCCCTGTGACACACCATGAAGGCCCAAGGGGTTGTGAGATGTCAAGGCTCCCACATTTTGTCTAGACAATAGGCTCACAGATGGCGGTAAGGTTGTCAGCCTTATGCACCAGCCACCCTTTACCCCCCAGGAAGATTCCTGGTACTCATTTCTATTAGGGGCTGAGTTGACCCCAGAGCCATAATGTGGCTGGAAGGATTAGGTAAATAGCAAAAATCCATCTCATTGGGAATCGTACCTGTGACCTTCCGGCTTCTAGCATAGTCCTAAATTACATGTTTGTAAGGAAATTTGGTGTTTTTTTAATTAAAATTAATTTTGCATCTCTGTTATTAAAACTTTTTCATTGATACCAGGAAAAAATCATCAGATCCCATGGAGGCAATGGTCCCCCACTTTGGTAAACACTGACTCGGATAACCAAGAAAGAGATGAGATGGTTATATTAACCTCTATCATTTGGGGCATTTAAATACCTTATACTTTCCCTTGACTGGAGCAGTATTCAATTTAAATGTTGAATTCTGCAGCAAATAATGATACAAGTTTCTTGAGTTAGAAACTTGAATGAATGAATGAATGTATAAGGGGTGGGCCTTCTCGGCCCTTGCACCGCGACCTACAATGATCCATTGTGCTTCTCCTTTTGATTATCCCCTCAGCAATCCTGCGCTTCGAATGAAGCATAGGATTCTGTACATGGGGGTGTCTAAATAGTCACTTGGTTCCATAAAGTACGTACCCAAGTGACGTAATCTTAAATAAGCTAAGGCCTCACATTCACACAGGATATGTGTGGCTGTTTCATTTTCTTCTTGACACCTCTCACAAGTGGGACTATCACTTAGTCCTAGTTTGAAGAGGTGTCCTTTAAGGTGACAGTGTCCTGTAAGCAGTCCCACCACCCATCGTAGCTGGTTCCTGTTTAACTTCAACAGTTTCTTCACTCTTTCAGCAGAGGGTCCTCGTATGAGTCCCTTTGCCTGCCTGAGTCCAGTCAAGGATCCCCAGTAGAGTCAGAAACTTCAAATAAAAACTATATTGTTAAGAATGAATCAAATGACCCATGCATGAAACTATATATTTATAAGCACCACAAGTTATGTTGAACAGTATTACCTTCAGGGAAGTCGCACCATATATTATGGTAGAAGTTAACAGTGTTTCAGAGGAAGATCCTCCATCAATCTCCACAGCTAAAGAGTTAGGCAGGCAAGCAGCAGGCACTCTCAATACTGCTTGCTTGTGTGGCCTAATTTTCAACCCCGATTATGGAGGCAAGATGCTGGCAAACCTCTACCAAACTACATGGTGCCATATCCCAAAACATAATACTGTGCACAGTTCCCCACAAGAACCTCAAATCTCAAATAATTTACATTCCTGTACATTTACCTAGTTTCTATAAAGACACAGCACAAGAAATGACTCCAGATTCTGATTCTGACAGACACACTTCTCCCTATCATAGTGACAGGGGCCCTGATAGCGATAAAGAAGATATACTGTAATACATAAACTAAAACATTTCATCAGAGTGCTATGATTGAATTCCTTGTAAACAAGAGCAATTCTGCTGCAAACATCTTTCACAGACTTTTCATGTCTATAGGGATTCTCTGGTGGTGTCAACAGTGTGTGACATAAGTGAAACATAAAAGACAGTATCAGGGGCAAGCCCAATCTTCCTTGCAGGAGCTGACCAAGAACCACCACCACAGAATGCAATGAGCAAAAAGTTGACATGCTCAAGATAGAAGACTGAAGGCTGACAGTTAGGGACACCAGAGGGCAGCCTGACATTTGACACAATGCCATGTAGGAAATGATAAAGATATTGGGATACCAGAAAGCTTGTAGTCACTGGGTTTCCCATCTGCTGACAGATGAGCATGAAAGGACAAACGTGTTATCACAGTGGCTTCAACAACATGCAGCCGAAGTGATGATTCCCCACTGAACATCATGAGTGGTGATGACAGCTGGTTCCACCATTTCAACCCCAAAACAACAGGGCATTGAATGGCATCATACAGTACCTCAAACAAAGGCCAGAACCACACCTCTGGCCTGAAAGAAAATGGGAACAATTTTCTACAATTGTGATGGGTGCATACTGCTGATTTCCTGCCCAAAAAGGAAACTATCAACACAGTTAACTGTTCAGCGTGTTTCTTCAAGGTATTTAAATCGTCTGCGGGGGTTCGACGTCTATGTATCGTCCAGCTGCACACCTATGTTATAACGCCCATAATAATTGATGGTTTTGCTGTAGATTGTTAGATTTTTCGCTGGCCTGTTGTCAGAAGAACAATATATAATGATTCACGAGTTTAGTTGCGTTAAGTCATCGTTACATATGCCTGTCTTGCAGCAAAATCGTGTTGCTTCTGGTAGTGGTTTCCTCATTCAAACTGTTATGAATGGCGTGTTTTCTTTCCTATGAAGTTATAAACAGCAGAGATGTGATATGTGCTGTGTTTATAATATAATATTGCCCTGAGCTGGCCACACTAACACACTCAATTAGAATTCTTAGAAGAGGGATGTCCAAAAAGTTATTCTTGCAAGATCGATTGATTTTGCACAGTACATAGCAGCCAGTTCTTAGAATAACATCACGAATTAAGGCAGAACACTGTGGTCACCCCCTGTGACGATACGGGTGTGTGTGTGGGGGGAAAAGAACTCATTTCTTCATGTATTATCGCTCCAGTTGACTCCATTTTATCGAACTGACCTTGGTGGTCGTTTCGAGGGATGACCATAAATATTTTTTTGAGCCAGCTAAGCTCTGCTTTCGTGCACTACATACCAGCAAGTTCTTAGAATAACTTCATGAATTCTGTGGTCACCCCTACAACATCTGCTGCAGCCAAAATGGATGGAATGCATAGCACCAACACCTTGTTATGATAACATAAAGCTTGAATTTACTGCAGCTAATCTGGCAAGCTAACTGACTCACGGAGAGACATTTCCTCTTGTATTCCCCCCACGGGGAAGAAGGCAAGGCCACACAGAAGATGTGTGGTTCAAAAAAAGGGCCAAAGAAAAGATACACAATATTGGTGTGGTGAATGTGAGGCAGCGTTGTGTTTAGAAGAATGCTTCAAGGCGTCACCTGCTTCCATTGCCAAGATACCGGGCGCTCATATTATAAGGTAAGGTTATAAAACCACTTTTAAGATCATTTTAGTGAAAGTTTCATGTTCCTATATCACTTTTAAGATCATTTTAGTGAAAGTTTCATGTTCCTATCTCATATAATTTAAGAACAATGATGAATAAATTACTTTCGAGCAAAATTTAAATGGTCGGCTGAATATATTACCGCCGGAGAGACACGGCAGCGGTATTTAAATGACTGCGCGAAAGGGTTAACTTTGTTCCGATACTCCAGAAACTGTGATGTACACTTCATCATTCAGTGCTTGAAAATAAACATGTCATTCTTCAACACAATAATGGACACCACACTGCACACCTGACATGGAGAAAAATTAACAGTGCTGGGAACTGCTTCCCGAACCTCCCTACAGTCCAGATTTGGCCCCTTCTGACTACCACCTGTTTTGAGTCCTTAGAAGAGGACACAAGGCACCAGCACTATGAAAATGAGGCAATCCAGCAAACTGTGCACATGGCTGTGAAATACTGCAATGAACTTCTACCACAGTGGCATATTCAAGCTTGTATCACTCTGGGAGAAATTCCAGGATCATTCTGGGGATTCCATACAACAGGGATGGGACATCTCCAGTAACTCAAGACAATATCTGTGTCTGTACATGTACCTGCACTTTAATACAAAGTAAATGGGCTCTTGACATTCAGTACAGCCTACATCAGTCAAAAAACTATGGGTTTCAAATGATGGACTCATATGGAATAAGAATTTTAATTATTTTATGATACTTAAGCAAAATAATGTCCAAAAATATATATTTGAAATTAAAAAAAAAATTAATTAAACCACTCACAAAATACAGTCATAATATGTGGACAGTGAGGCAGCAAGAATCAACATAAGAATCAAGGTGACAAAACTGAGAACTTTTGGACCTTAACTACACAGTTAGAAAACAATGACAATAACAACAACAATACAAGTGAAAGTGGCATACATGTAAACTTTTATATTCATAATATATCTGAAGTTACTGTATATAGAAAAATCTAAAACATCACATAAACAAAACATGTATGGGTAGATGGCCAAAAATAAGAAATTATATATGTACTTGCAGTATAAATAGCAAGCAGAAGGCCAAGGAGACACTGCATTCAGAATTCTGGAGCTGGGCTCAGTTAAAATTTCATGAACAAGAAGATTTGGGAAGAATTAACCGTCTACTTTCTTTCACTACAAATTGAAGGTGGGCCTTGGCACAGATCACATAGCAAACACTGCATCCAACAGTTCCTCTACTGTTGTGTGTGTATTCGCTGTCATGGGAATGTATTTAGTGAATTATGGCTGCCCTTTTCTGGCTCCGATACTCCAGCTTTCAGGCATCACATCACATGGTTTCCCCCTTAATGCTGTTCAGCAATTTGAGAGGCAGTAAAGTTGGTATTATTGATGCAAGGGATTATGAAGTATGTTGTTGAGATGGACTCAGGTGCCATGATACACATAACAAGTTTCATAAAAACTGGTTCAGGCATTCAGAAGTTAATTAAGGGGGTCGATACATGTACAGACACATATACACATACATACAAGTATACACTTACAGACAGCAAGGTAATCTCATAAGCTTACATTTATGTTTTCAAAATAAGGAAAGCAAGCTAAAAATTCACTTTACTTGAAGTAAATAACACCCCCCCCCTCCCCCATATGTTATGATACCCACCATGGTCCTCACAGACAGAAGATTGAGAACATTCGTCAGAAACAAGTTAAAATTACAACATGCACTCAGCAATCTAATGCCAAACTCCCATTACTTTGATCTGTTTCATTCTGGTTCATCACACTCACAATATCATCACCAGTCACACTAGATGGAACTGTTTAACTTTTCATCCCACTACTTCCTTCCCTGTATAATGCTTCTGCATGTGTTCTACTTTTCCTTTCACTATTAATTTTGTACTGTACCCTTACACTTTTGCTACTGACACTCAGATAATCCTATGCATCACCATATAGAATATACCAGTGTATGATGCAACCAGAATGCATCCTTTCATACTTACGAGCTCTCGTACAAATTCTGGATTTCAAATATTAAGCCTTCACTGATGCAATTCCGGAAGTATGTCAAGAACTTCTTCACCGTCTCAGGAAGATTATAGCTCTGCCGATCATAATCGGAGTCTGTATGGGGTTCCCCTGGGTGGTTATCATAGTCCAATGCACCATTATATCCATACATGTCATAACTCTGTAAGCGAAGCAGCCATATACAAATCTATCAACACATGCATTCTGAGCTTGCAGACAGATAAGTTATGATAAACTGGTACGACAATGAAGCAGAGATAATTCAACAAATAATATTATGCTCCATGAGTAACATTCAATAAAAATGAAAGAAACAGCACAAACTATAAATTAGGAGGAAACAATTTATATTCGTATTGACCACCAACAGCAGCATGGTCTAGGCCACATTTGGTGTGTTCCATCCTTCCATTGGTCCCTTCATTTAACTGTGCGTGCCCTATGTTTCATTGTCTTTTTGGCTTTCACATTAAAATTTTATTCAAAATTTGCCTCTCTTCCATTTGTAGAACAAGATATTTACACCGTGATCTGGATTTTAGAATTTTATTATTTAAATCCATGATGTTCAGTTCTTCTCTAATTTTAGTCGTTCTTATTTGGTCCTTCCTTGTGTAGCCTGCTACACTCCTCAAAAATTTAATTTCTACAGCTTTAATTTTTGCTTATTGCTTTTTTTGTTATAGTCCAAATTTCAGATCCATACGTAAGTCAATTTAACAAGACTATAAAAATAATATGAACTATCTCCTCTTTAATGACACCAGCTGGCTGAACCAATGACATAAATAATTACTCTGCTCCCTCTGACTATCTTAAAATTGTAGCACCCACAAAACAAAGTCATCTGGTATATAGAAGACAGTGATTGAGACTAGCTCCTTCTAATGGGCCCAACTGAGTAGGTTTATCCTGCCCCGTCCACCTGAGGATGGAATCAGATCCAGTCTCCGAAACGTTGTGGTTTTTGTCTTCTATATACCAGATGATGGATAGAGTCCAAAATAAGCCTAATAGTTCTGTCAGGATCCTTTCAAGTCTACCAAAGTTATCAGCACCACTGGAAATATTCCAAGGTTCACAATTTGCACACGGCTTTCAACCTTTCATATGTGTACAATCATATAACAAAATTGTGCAGGCAACAAGCAGAAGTCATACAGAATCATGAGAATGAATATTGTGACATGGTGCGCAATGGAGAACGCCCCACCAGCAGTGACGCGACGGGTGAGTCAGCGCTCCGTCATCCCCCCTCCGCACAGTGACGTAAGACGGCGTGCGGTAACAGCGTTGCTACGTAACAGGCACACACAGCCACTATATAAGAGAGCTGCGCTGCCTGCGAGGAGAGTTGTTGTAATGTTGCCGTCGGCGAGTTGAAATATAGCAGCCGTCGCGGAAAGAAGTACCGAACGTGTGTGTAACTGAGAAATAATTGGGAGTGTGTAACACAGTGACACTTGTATAGCTCCCGTACTGTGAAACGTGTAGTCTACTGAAGACAGAGTGAACTGATTTGCGAATAAGGTTATAAATCATGAAACCCCGCAACAGTGCAAACAGATTAATGCGATTAGGGTTATAAAGTGTGAAACCCCACAACTGTGTGATAATTAATTGTAGCCATTATTTGTAGGTTGTTGAATAAACCAATTAACAATCTCTACGGCGTATTCAGTAACGAAAAACGTTACAATATTTTCACACCATAGAACAAGGCAAACCCAGACACTCAAAAACAAGTGGCTTAAACTTGGCAGTGTTCAAGCTTACAATCGTTCAAGTGACTAAGTTGCCATTGTAGCATAAGAGAAATACAATTGGCATTATCTGCTTTCCAAAGCCTGCACTGACAGAGGACTTATATATAGTGCAAAAGGAGGAATTTTCAATAAAATGCTATATGTGCAATACATACACTTGATGAAATGCCAAGCATATTCATAAGCGACCAACTCATCTCCCATCTGAAAGGGTGTTACATAAGGGCTATGACAGCAAAGGTTCAGTTGAAAAAATAAAAATGTCTGGTCATGAATTTCAAGGGACCTGAAGCTGAGATGAACTGATCTGTGGTAAATCACGTGTTGTAGAGTAATTCTGATTTAATCAGGGCAGTCAGCTCTGTATGGAAGCCTGTGAAGAGAGGATTGGATCCAGAGGCAGAGGAATAGCCACTGTTGGAGCTGTTACTGGCACTCTCAAGAATACTAATAAAATAGGTTCAACCGTCCAATTATTACATCAAAATGTTCAAAGTCTAAACAACAAGAATCTGAATATAGATGTGCTATTATCAAACAAAACGTCAGAATCGGATATACTCTCTATCACTGAACACTGGTTGGATGAAAGAGAAATAGATTATTATAACTTTGAAAACTATTCCTTGATAAAATTCTGTAGGAAAAATAAATTGCATGGAGGCTCATGCATTTATGTTAAAACAAATCTAGATGCAAAACCCTGTAACCTGTTTGAAAGCTTAAATCAAGAACACTTTGAGGCCAGCATAATTGAACTTATACAATTTAATACTATCATAATCTGTATATATAGAACCCCTAATAGCAATATCAACATATTTATAAAAAACTTGGACACAGTACTTAGCAATCTGACCAATAAAGGAAAGAACATTATTATAGCAGGAGATCTCAATGTAGATTTTCTAAAAAGAAGTGTTAATCCACAACTACAGACAGGCAATAGTTGATGTTATATTTTAGCGTCCTGTTGCACTGATTTAAGTCCATGATTTATTTAAACCGTCTTGCAGTGCATACACTCATCTATCTCCTTCTCTTACTTGCACTACATATTTCGGCACAAAAATGCCATCTTCAGGTGCTTACTCAATCCACGCCAAACTAGTTCATTGCATGCCTTGTCCTCACATTAAAATAACTAAAATATATATCTATCATATACATTGACAAATGTCAAACGTTAAAAATATTAAAATTGTTCAGGATTCCTCATCGCTACGTCGCATCTCACTACGCCAGTCATGCCCATCCTCCTCTGTTGGAGCACTCCTTCACTATCGTGTGTGTCTGTAACGTGAATTTTTTTTTATTCATTAATACTGCGTTCCGTATTTTATTTATTACTTGTGGTATTATAATTTTTAATAATACTCACTGTGCTTTTGTTGCGTCTTGCTCCCATGACTGCGTGTGTTATACTGTTGGGCCTGCTGGGTCTGTGTGTGTGTTCTGTCTTCGTTTTG